TAGCAAAATCCTATGAAGAAAATAAGATGTTATTTTACAATACTAAATTTTTATCTAGACGAATAATCATATTATGTATTTAACTTTCCCAATCTGTCAAAATTCTGGTTCATTGTTATGTTGTGTTCTACTAACTTGTAGGCATATGTATTCTCTAATTTTAGTCCTGCTTATTTGAATGAGATGTCTATTACAAAAACCTATCTTGCAATATCTTTATTTTTCAGACTTTTATGACATACAAGTAAAGTTTGAGGAGCACGTTGCATAAACATGACACTATAATCATTATATTCAATAAGACGATATACAGTTGGAATACGTTGATTCTTAATAAAAGAAGAAATAAAGAAATATCATGAAAAAATATACATATAAAAGCAAAAATCATATACAAGATCAAATTGACCAGCTTTACGAATTGTACGTCGTGATAATTCGGTAAGTATATAAAATTCCCATACAGTTGGTGGATGTTGAATCTAAACAACAAATATTTAATATTCACATATGCAAAAAATTTCTTCATCTAGTAACTATCAATATATATAAGAATAACATGAATGACAATCAAAACAAATTTTTATAGATTTAGTTCACTCTTCGAACTTTTCAAAAGTGTTATTGTATATTGAATGAATACAGTGATACTTTTATAATATATTTTATATTTATAATGTATTTATTAAAATTACCTTGCAAGCATATGTTACTTTTGGATTCGATTCTAATCGAGCAGTAATAACGTATCCATAAGCACCTTCACCTAATTTTTTTCCAAATTCATACATTGTTCCACCTAAAAAAAAATGATCCAAGATATTCTATGAAATATAAATTTTGTTTTCTTTCCGAAGTCAACTAACCTAATTGAACTTTTTCAATTTTAGTACCAATTTTATTTTTAGCTAAAATTGATGGTAAATTTATTTTTTCAATCGAATAATTTTCCATTATTGCATAATTAATTCCACGTTTTTCAAGTATTTGTCTTCGTATATGATCATCAAATGGATCACGTTCATCGACAACAATACAAGAAACATTAAGAAAATTTTCATCTAATGTATCATTTATAGGTACACATGATTGTCGACGAAGTACTTGATCAATTGTAAATATATTCATTAATGGTGATATTGTTGAACCACGTCGAATATTACTGGGCAAACAACTAATACGTTCACCACCCATTAAACTTGTATTTGACATATCAAGCATTCTAATGAAAACAACAAGATTAAAGTTTTCTTTTGTTTCGAATTAATATTTTACCGTGAATATTCAAAACGAACAGCTTCACGACATTCAGGTAATAATTGACAATCAGGATCATCATCTGTATCAATACTTGTTTGAACTTTAATTGGAGCTCGTACAGGTGATCGTTTAGTTTTTGGTTCAGCAGCCATCATTAGATCAAATGAACTACGTGTTTGTGTTCTTCGTTTTGTTACAGTTGTTCGATTTTTTGGCTGTTTTTTTAACTGTTCCTTTCGATATTCTAACGAAAAAATTTTTCTTTTCAATTATCAATTATTTCAAGTAATAATAATGATATATACCTTGTTGATCCCATTCTTGAAAACGTATTGCAAAAGCTCTGAAAGAAAGAAAAAAAAAAAAGAAGTTATTATTGAAACAAAAAAAAAAGAATAGTGTAAACAAACCGATAAGCTTTATCAATTTCAGCACATTCATCTGGATCGGATACAAATTTTTTTGCTTCTTCATATATTCCCCATGCACCAGCCCAATTTAATTCATTTTCTTCAGTATATTCAGCCCAATCAATCCATAAATGTGCATATTTAAGACCTATATGTTTTTTATAAAATAATCCATACCATAAACCTTTATCTACAGACATTTCAGGCTAAATACAAAAAAAAATGATATATATACATAACAATGTATGGAAGAATTTCATCTTGAAAAACTTACAATTAACAAACAAATTTCTGCAAAATCTTTATTATTAATTTGTTCAGAATCATTTTCAAATTTTTCAAGACATTTTATACATATTGGATATAGAATTTGATTATTAGCTAATGTATTTTCACCATTATTATCTTCTGGTAATGTATCTTGTATAGTAACCAAAAAACTTTGAAAGGTAAATATTTCGAAAAATCTACTTTAGATTTAAAAGGAAAATGAAAAGTTACATACGGTAACCAAAGATCAGATACTTCATTCGATCCAGTATATCGTTTTAAACGTTTATCAAATTCATGTTGTAATTCAGCAATTGTTAGTTTTGTCATGCTTAAAATAAGGATAGTTAATGTTGGTTTTGAGACCTGTAGACATACACAAGAGAGAAATTTTATTGAACCAATTCTATTACCGGTCTTTGTTCATTAAGAACAAGGCAATGAATGATTAGTGATATATTTTCGACAAATAGAAAAGCAAAAGAAATATTGATATAATTTATAATTTTCGATTTTAAAGAAGTATTTATTGAATTTTATATTGTTGAAACGAATAGATGGAGCTACTATGTGAAATGCTGTATGTATCATATGTGATGACAGATATATAATGTCAGAAAGAAAAGTGTGTTCAGTTCTTTTTTCTTTTCGTGCCTCACTTAAACACTATCCGTATTCTTGTTATTCGGAATCAAAAAAAGACATACAACAATATAAATCGCTTATACTTTTTTAAAAATTATCTACATTTATTTTTTTTCTAAAGGCTTTTATATAAGGCTTTCAGTTCAAATACTTATTATTGACTAGTAATTTTTTCTCACAAACCAAGGCAATCATTCTGTTCATGAGAAGCGACGTATAACTAGAAATGTACCAAATTTAAACCGTTTAAGTTTGGATTTCGATTTGGTACATGTCTAGTCATGAATGAATCTACAAAGCTTTGTTTTAATCATTGGATAATAAAATTAATTAATTTCGTTCTTAAATCGAAATGCATTCAAGCACTTGACACAGAAAAAGAGAAAGTATATCTTTCTAGTTCTTTCTTTTTATCAACAGGTGTTGAAATGTTAACCGATATTTGGCGTCAGAGAAAGTTTAAACTTGATCGTTTTCAATAAGGGTGCACATGTGGATTAAGATAAGATGAACCCACATTCAACACTATCAATAGTTTTAAAGAAAACATAAAACTATTACGATATTGGTATAAATTTCATTAAATAAGGTTCGCAGTTACATTTTTTGTTAGTTTTTATTGAATTAATATTCATTTATCTGCGAAAAAAATAATCAAAATAACAGCAGAACTATGAAAGTAAAATTAACACGAATATTTCACCAACTATTTAAAGTTTTTTTTCTAATCTATTTGCGAAGAAGGCATGATTTCAACAAAACTGAAGTCAGCTTTCTTTTTATATAATTTGGCACTTTTTGCAATTATCTGTAATTAAGAGGAAGTGCTCTTTTTTTGACAATTAAACTTCTCGCATCTACTATCAAAATTCAATTCTTCTTATTGTTGAATATTTTACTCTTTTATAGAATCCTGTAACTCAGCTGGAAGTCATCGGGTATCCGGCAGCTACGTCATTTTGCGATAATAATGATTATTTTAATTGTTTCAAATTATTATTACTTATTAGCATAAATGTGAACTATGGTTTGATCGTGTCTGAAGAAAATATGGTATACTTGAAAATAAACCATGCAATTTAAAAGCGATATTGTTTTTTTTTTTTTTTTGTAAGTTGACCTAAAATTTTAATTTATTATCGAGATAAACTTAGGCACTTGAGAACTTTTGGTCTTTGCAACATTCATTTTAATCAATTCCTAAATTGAATTCAATTGTTACTGACTTAAGTTGTCTATGTCTAACACAAAAAAAGATGGAGTTTCAACTATAAAACAAGTTTATAGTTATCAATTCACATGTACAAATTCAACCAAAATTTGACACATGTCGTACTTTGTAGAATATTCAAGTACAACATAAAGTCCTTCTAAAAGGGCATTTCACCTAAATATATGATTTGAATATATTTCTCATTCTTTTAACTGTGCTGTTACTTGAAAGAGTATATCGATTGTTTTTGAGTCTGATTCATTTTATTAATAATCTCATCTTTAATTGCTATTTCTCGAGCATTAAATGATGAAATCTAGTTATAACGATTCAATTTAGGTACTATTAAACTGTTCACAGGCAATATCACCTTGCCGATGGATCTCTTCATATATTATTAGACATCCCATAATTAAAATAGCACCAGAAACTATACTTGAAAAAGAATATCAATAGTATAGGAGCTTCATAGCTTATGTAATGCTGAATACATCAAACAACACGCTGAATGAATGATAAGTAAATAGTTGATGAAAGAATCTAGATGTGATACAATCTAAATAGAACACATTTTAGTTTGATGTATGGAATTCGATGAGCATTGGTAATATTTATTTTTAATATTTATTCATAAAATGTATGTTTTTGTTTTATTCAAATGAATTCTAATTCTAATCTAATAATGTCATATTACAGTACTATTGACTGGTCTACCTAGAAAGTGTATACGTAATTGTATATTTACATGTGTATAATAGTTTTTGATATAAATTGTTTGAATTTACAAACAGCGATATATCAACATCAATGATGATATAAATGAAACATTGAATAAAAGAAAATAATAATTATTTCTTTAAAGCATTCAAAACTTAATTCAACAGTAGGAATAAACAAGACGTTTTTTTTTTTTTTATTAATATGAAATCACAAAAAAATTATCACTGTTTTCTTTAGAAGTATCATTTGAACTAGTAAACAATGAAATATAATTCATGATCTCACAAATGATTAAATCATAATTATGATACTCAAATATACAACTAACAAATAAAGAATTTTTAAATAAACTAAATGACTAAAAATTTAAACATTTTTGTTAAATTTTATGTCTACACTTGACTAATAAAATGAGATCATTATATCATATTAATTTTGTTTGTTTTCTATGTTAAATAATTAATTAAATATTGCTTTGATGTTTAATATAATGCTTTAAAACGTTTATATGCAGCACGTTCTAATGATTCACGATGATCTGGATGAGCTATTTCAATTAATGCTTTAGCTCTTTGTTGATAATTTTTACCAAATAAATTAACTACACCATATTCTGTGACAACATAATGAGCATGTGCTCGAGTTGCTGTTATAGCTGCACCTTCTTTCAACTATAAAATAAAAAGACCTTTTTTTGTTTTTTTAATTATTTTATTAAATCAATAGAATCTTACCGTATTAACAATTCGTGAAACACCTTTCGATGTTTTTGATGGTAATACAATAATTGGTTTTCCATCTTTACTTAATGCAGCACCACGCATAAAATCCATTTGTCCACCAACACCTGAATATTGCATTGTTCCGATTGAATCCGAACAAATTTGTCCAGTAAGATCAATTTCTAATGCAGAATTAATTGCACACATTCGTAAATTTTGCCGTATTTGAGCTGGATCATTTGTTATTGAAACATCCAATGAAAGAACATTTGGATTATCATCAACAAACTTATATAATTTTTTTGTTCCCAATATAAATGTACATGTTGTTTTACCAGGATGAAATTTTTTATATCGATTTGTAATAATACCTTTTTCTAATAATGGTATAACACCATCTGATAACATTTCTGTTGCTATACTCAGATCTTTATGATTATTGAGACATGTTAAAATACAATCTGGAATAGGACCAATACCTATTTGAACTGTTTAAAAAACGTTTTTTTTTTTATTTACATATTATCGTTTTGTTTTCGAAATGAATTCAGTAATAAAGGTCGAATAAATGCAATGAGCATTAGTTTATACGAAAGTCAATTTATTTTCTTTGAACAATAATTCTTATTTCATTAATATCGAATGTAGAAAAAGTTTTGCGACATTTTTTGTTTTGCATATAATTCTGTTAAATGTTGATCTTCTTTTCTTTCTCGAAAGATGTGCCATTAAATGTTCTATTCAGATCACAAGACCAAATTTTCATAACTATTTTCGAAAATGTCTATTTCAATTGATCGGAATGTTTTTCCCTCAAAATAAATTGTTTCTTTTTTGCTGTGCTATTTTCAAATATATCATCTAAAAAACAGTGAGCTCAATGCACCAGTAGCTAGATTGAACTTCGTCGATTATTGACTTAACTTCAACTAAAAATAATGAAAATAAATTGACTTTTTACAGCGTCTGAAATAGTTCATTGTATCTGATGAACTTTTCTGATTTTTTTCTTGTGAGATGTAACACGATAACATACATCCCAAAACTTTTGTCACATTCGATATTTATAAATTAAAATGACCTTGCATTAAATTAAGCTTTTCTCTTATAAATCTATAGACAATTGTTCATATTGTTTTTTCATAAACAATTTTTTACACATTACTAAAGTATACAAAATTTTCCTTGTATTACTCTTTTTTAATATAGTTTCTTGAAAAAATATATATATTTCTGATGTTTGAGACTTGATAATTTATTTGATGAAAGTTTATGACATACTTACGTGTACTTTGATCTTCAATTAATTCAGCAACTTTTTTACTAATAGCTGCTTCTATTTTAGTAATTTCTTTCGTATGATTAAATTCAATTAATGGTTCATCATATTCAACATAAGCATCAATATCATTCATATGTACAAATGTATCACCATGTACACGAGGCATATTTCGATTGATTTGAGCAAAGATTTTTTTAGCATTTCGTATAGCTGCTCGTGTCACCTCAACTGAAATACCAAGTGAACAATAACCATGTTTATCTGGTGGTGAAACATGAATTAAAGCAGCATCAATAGGAAGAATTTTTTCATCGAAAAGACGAGGCATTTCATTGAGAAATATTGGAATATATGATGCAGAACCACTAGCAATCGATGAACGAACAAAAGATGATGCAAAGAGACTATTAATAAAAAAACTATCTCTTAATTCAGGATTAGTAAATGTATCGTCAAGAGGATTAAGACTTATAATTTCAACACGTCGAAGATCACCGGCACGATTAGCTACCAGACGATTAAGATATTGAGGAGTTCCGCCACATCCTAATGATAGAAGAGAAAACAAAACAAAAATCAAGTTATAATGTCTTTCATCTGTTGCATATCAAAGTTTGTTGAATAAAATGATTTAACTGATAGACTCTCATGAGACTACTTGAAGTCATCTCTTTATTAATCGAGATATCCTTTATTTAGTTCAAAAGAAAAAAATATCTAGGATATGATCAATGTGTAAGATGATTTTCTATTAATAATGACGATTTACAATTTAATGATTGTCTATAATTCTTTTTTTATTTATTAATTGATCTATTGAATAGAAAAATAGAAAACTTAATCCAAACAAATACATATTAGGAAAAGTCATTCAAAATGATTTTTCTTTCCTCAATCAATCAATACTCGATGACAGAAAAAATTTCAAACTCTTCACTTATTTCACTGATAATCAAAAAAAATTCTTTTTTCATTTTTCTTCTTGAATATTGTGTATTCACTTACCCTGCACAAAAACACGTGCACCAGAATTGATAACTGATAAAGCTTGATCAATGATCAACTTCGCCATTACTTTAAATGTCTAACACATGAGAAGAAAAAAAAAACAATATTCCATCATTTTTCTTTCTTTTTTTTTGTTAAAACTTCTAACTCTAAACACAAACCACCCGGTAGTTTTTTTCTTTTTATCATTACATTTCATAGATTAATAGTAATGTCCTCACCTCCTCTAAGCAGCTGCAAACATTTAATATGATGAGTGTATTTTAAAAAAAACACTTTTTTCCTTTCTGTTTATCGCTTCCTTGTTTTTTTTCTTACGTTCTTGTTTTATTTTACCTATTCACTACATTACATACAGATCGTCTTCTTGTTTACGCCTTCGTTGTTCGTTTTTTTTCCTTTGCACACTACCACATTCATTTATGGTCACATGATAAAAATTCGAACGATCGCAAAAAAAAATATCAAAACGAACGTGTTTTTTTCCGATTTTTTTTTGTCAAAAATCAATTCATTTTTAGAAACGAAAGTGTAAGAAATTCATTCATCACAGTATATAATATTTTTTTTTGAAAATTTTAACCGACAAAAAAAGAGTGAAACATCAATAATAAACATATATGCACACTAGAACACGAAGAATGAAAAACATATTCTTTTCTATTCCCCATTTGTTTGTCCATGATAAGATGATGAAGACAATGGAGATATGCCATGTTGTATAGATGTTGCATTAGTACCAACAGCAGCAGCCGCTGCGGCTGCAGCTGCAGCAGCAAAAAATGAACTTGGATGCATTGGTGGACATGATGGATAACCCGATGAATGAGATATTGATGGTGGACAATAACCTGATGTAGTTGTCATTTCATCATAAAGATCTTAAGAAGTTTTTGCAAATTAAATTAATAAACTAAAAAAGCAATCTATTTAATATACTTGGTTGAAAGCTATACGGTGTTCGAGTTGGATCAAATGTGTGATAAGGATTTGTAGTTATTAAATCATTATACTCCGATCCCATGACTAGAAGAAAAAAAGAAATACATTGAATTTATTTTCGATTATATATATATTTTCATGGTTATATTCAGAACTTTTTTTTTTTTTATTAAGATATATATAAATTATTAAATAAACTGCTATGGTTTTTGATTGATGTTCTTCTTGATGGTAGAATACATAATTAAGTACGATACTATATGAATACAGACGAAGATAAGCGATATTACATACAGGCATATCCTAAGGTCGTCAGGACTGTGTATGAAGAGGGAAAGAGTAGATGACTCAGGAGGCCAATGAAAAGACTCTTGTTAAAGTTGACCTAGTTTTCGGGGCAAGTTAATGTTTCTTTTTTGTGGGAACTGGTGAATAGAAAACAATAAAATGCTGGAAGAAAACGAAAATTTTGCAAGATTAGTAAAGTGATCCGCTCAACAAATTTTCCGATTAAACATTTGTTTTTTACTACCATTTGAATAGTAAACCTTCAATGATTAATGTCTGACGTTATTTCTTTTTTAAATAAGCTTAAATAACAAAACTGATCCATACTTCTATATTCATGCTTTTCAGGTTTTTTTTTGTCTATTATTAAACAAGAATATTCATGCGTAATCATGCTAAGTCTTCATTTTTTATTCTAGTAAAACAAACCTTTTTGTGTAATCGCTTTAAGAAAACAAAAAACAAATTCAATTAATCCAAATTGAAAAACAATTTTGTTTTTTTCTTTTCTTTTCTTTTCTTATAAACTTACCAGCTCGATTTGATTGATCAATCATTGGTTGTACAATTCTTCTGCGAGCATTAATAAACCTTAGAGAAAAAAATAAAGAAAAATGATATTTAACTGAAAATAACTAAAACAGCTGCATTTCTTTCTTTTATCGTAATCCGTCAAACAGACGTTTCTACCTGTCAACACTATGTTTACAACATCGAAGAACAAAAAAAGAATATGATTAATGACTCTAAGCATCATCTCCTTGTGAAAGAAGAACAATCCTAATGACCGTTGTGTGTATGTATATATATATGTATATAGATCAAGCACAGCTGCATGATTGAAAAAAAAAATTTCCGCAGCGTTAACTGTTTTTAACACGGTTCGTCACGAACAATTGATGAGATGGAACGGAACGGTGTGAATTGATTAACCCAAACGATTACGACACTTCAGATTCATAGCAGGAAATGTTGAAGATTATTCGAGTAAAACATTAAAAATGAAACGTACCAATTATTAACTTGTAAAATATTAAGATTGGTTTCTCGAGCTAAAATTTTCTTTTGTTCCTCAGATGGATACGGATGCTAAAACAAAACAAAACAAAAATTTTTCTTTTTATTTTCTTATCAAAATATAAATCTTACATTTAAATGTTGAAATAGCCATGCACGCATTAATGATGTAGCTGCTTTAGGAAAAATGCCTCGTTTTTTTTGACGACGTTTATTATTATCATCATTTTCTTCATAATAATCACCTTCGATTGAACTTTCAAAATTTTCACTACTTTTATCTGTTTCATCAATTGATTGATGAGAATATTGAATTGTTGATGATGGCATATAATTATTAGTTTGTTGAATAGATAAGAATTGTTGTTGTTGTTGTTGTTGTGGTTGCTGTTGATTGGGACTTTGTGATTCTGATGAATCCGAATTTGATTTTAATGTTTGATTATGATCATTGGTTGATGTTTGAGACAATGAACGCACCTGATTAGAATAAATAGATTAGATTTATCTTTGATTAGCATCTTTTCTTTTTTTTCTAAAAAATCATCGAACCGCAACTATATATATATAGTTGATTTAATCGAATCTATATAATCATAGTTTATCATATATTCTCATGGATAATGACTGTCGCTACCTACGTTCGTAACACATGTTTTCTTTTGACAAAAGTTTCTAAGTATTCAATAAAAGAGTTTGGATTTTAGTAAAAGAAAATCGTCGTACCATTAGAAAAATGTACAATAGTATCTGCATTAATATGACAAATTACACTCGAGAGATTTCCTAATCTTTTGATAAAAAAAGAACATGTTTTAGAAGAAAATGCCTTTGCTAATAGTCCTATGCTTACTCTCTAATTGACATGACATTTATAACTATACTGGAATAACCATAAGATAAAATAAAATAGCAATTGAAAAGTTCGTATTAAAGAAAATGTATTATTACCGGTTTGATATCTTGTTCATAATCATGATTGCTCATTTCACTTTGTTCATCTTCAGATTTTGAAAAACTTAAATCTCGATCATCCATTATAATGTCCCTTTTTTAAAACAAAACAAACAGAACTCAAGTTTATAGGTTTTTGTTTTTCAATTAACTTACATAGGCATTTTTCCTTTTAATAAATGAATATAACGTTGACAAAAATTATCGCATAATTCATGGACTTTTTCTAATTCAAGTAAATGAATTCTTAAAATTTGTATTGCTTGTATCATCTTAAACAAAGAAGAAAAATTATTATAGTCATTTTTTGTTTTCCTTTTGTTTTTTATTTATCCTATATAAATAAACAATACATACAAGATTATCAATTTCAGGATTTGATGTATGACATGGTAAATGTTCTTTTGTTAACTATTAGAAAAAAGAACAAAAAAAACCGATTAAATATTCATAGAGGAAATACTTGAAAATTTTACTTGTTTTGTAAATTCAATCACATCTTCATTAAGTGATGTAAGTGAACAAGCATAATTTGGATTATTTGCATCACGAGGTGAATTAGTTGCTAATTCACATTTATCAAATATAATAGCAAGCAAAGGAAAAAGTGGATGACTAAAAAACAAAGGATAAACAAGTAGTTTAAAGAAGAAGAAGAAGAAGAAGAATTTCGGTTTTTTTCTTTCTTACTTATATATAAGATCTTTATCAAGTTTATTTAAATCCGTATTGTTTGTTGTTGATTGTAATAATGGTGTTTGTGAAGGATGATATTGTTGATAATAGAAATTTGTTGTATTCGTCGTCATTATATTATCATAAGAGGACATATGATAATTATATCTAGATATAATATAGAAGACGAAAACAAAAAAAGAACAATTTTTTTTCTTTTTATCAATCTTGACATATGCACACGTGAAATTTTAATTCTCTCGAAAATGTAGAGTTATTTCGACGAAGATATATGTGTGGATGTACACGCCTGGTGCATATCATCTACTAACGTCAATTATACTCATCAATCATAATGCAAGCTCGTCATACATGTATACTGTGGGTAAAAGAAGAATTAGCGTCTCGAATAGAGAGCGCGTCTTTTGCCCCATTCTCATTTAGGTTATCTTTTATCGTTTTTTTCCTCTCTCTCAAACAAAAAAAAAATAGAATAGAGAGAGAGAGAGATGCAGTGATATTGGTTATTCTATATATTAATACTCGTTGATGATTGGAAGATATCTTTTATTATATGTCGATGGAATAGCTAATTTCTTTTTTTCTCTTTTCTTTTCTTCTCCTGCTGTGTATCATCTTCTCGCATTGTTGAGACAATCTTTTCCGGTTATGAGAAAAACAAAATGTTCTTAACATATGTATGGAAATAAACAAAAAAGAAGATGAAGATGAGAATTTCTATTTTGATAAAAATCAGTTTTATTGTTAAAAAAAGAAAAAGATTCTAATGATAGAAAAGAATTGTTTGGTAATTATCAAATGAATTTTATTTATATTAATAAAAAAAAAAAAAAAAACAAAGACAAAAAGCAAACGGAAATCGATTACGTGTATTGAAACTAATTTTATTTTTTACATTGAATTTGAAAGAAAAAATGATGAATTTATTTTGGTTAATGACTTTGGATAGTTTGAAGAAGTAATTGTTATATTTTCTAGTGTTCATATTGTATTAACACTTGAACATATCGAGTATAATTAATGATATACTCAGTTATTCTTTTAATTATTGTTGTATAGAATATGAAATTAAATGAGAGGTGTTTATGCTTTCTTTAAATATTATTATCGTTTATTGAGATCGATTTTGTCCGTTTTTCATCGGTTATTGACAATTAAGAGATAGCGATGTTTGAGATAGTTTGTTGTAGTCGTTGATATGAATTCTATCCCATAACAATAGTCTAGTTCGTTGTCTGTGTCTCATATTAATATGTATTACTTTTGTCAAAAGGCAAGAAAAGAGAGAAGTATTGACCTTCAGTAATTTTGCGTACGATACTCCAAGGATAACTGCTTATGTTTGTGTACTTACAGTATGAAATAGAGTCATAGACTGTATAACTTCGAAAATTTATCTGTTTTATTATTTGATATAAAAATTTACAATTTCAGTATGATATTATGAAAATCTGTATATTAATTTAAGAAAAAATTGTCTATCTATTAAATTATTGTTTTTTTTCGTCTCGTTGAATGTTGTTATGTCAGTTTTTCTAATTGGATTGACGAAAAATACAGAAAAGAAAAAAATGCCGAATAGGAAAATGCCAAAAAGGGTTATATCGGAGATAAAAATAGCGAAAGAAAAAAAATATAGAACAAAGAGAAACACAGAATGCGTTGTTTAACTTTCGTATCGTTATTGGCTGTTATCAGATTAATAGAATTTCGTTGCTTTAATGATTTACAATCATTCATTTAAAATGTAAGGGTGAGGAAGGGTGAAAGTTATCTCTTCATATGCACCTTCATCTTCGCTTTTTCGATATTTTCTTTTTCTGCAGTTTTCCATTTTCAATAAGTCAAAGAAAATCATCAAATTTCTTATAAAAGATAATGAGTATTTCTGGTATGATTTATCATTGTAGTTTCAATAATACGATTGATAGAAATCATTGAGTTTCTTTGTGAATGAAAAAATATAAGTTTTAGCAAACAAATAATAATACACACAAATCAAATTCTGATATGTCTTGCTTTTCTCGAAATTTTAGAGTGGGAAAAAAACGAAATATCTTCGCTTCGTTACAACCGAATGAGTTGATGTTTTAGTTAGTGGAAGTTTTTTTTTCATATGGTATAGGTAAGCAAATACTATCATCAAGTATTATTTATTGTCTTACTAGAGAAATTTTACTTGTTGTCATGTTAGAGAATTCATATGAAGTGTTGCATAGATAGTTTTCAGTTGTTATCTGAGAGAATAGCAACGATAAACTTTATGAATGTTACTCTATTGATGTACATAGGGCACATATTCATATCTACCTCGTTTAAAAGTGCATCGGTACTATATCTCAAATTTTCAAGCATAGAACATTTTTTTCTCCAATGCGGTTGATACTATACTGAAAGGTTTCAGTTATAGGACATGAATCTCAGCATTGAAATTAAGTAGATATGAAGATATATTCTATGCACATCAATATAGTAACATTTATAAAATTTGTTGTGATTATTCTTTCAAGTAACAACTGCAACCTATCTATGAAGCGTTTCATATGAATTTCCTTACTTGATAACAAAGTAAGGCCAACGATAATACTTAATAGTAGCATTTGTTTACATTATCCGCTTGAAGAAAAAGCTCTACTAACCAACAAATCAGCCAACTTGGTTGAAGCGAAGCAAAAACATTTCACTTGTTTATCGTAGTGTTCTTTATGGCTCATCCTGTTGTTAATATATAAGAATAAAGTCGAACACTGAATTGTAGATTTCTATAGAATTAAATTTTTTTGAACTAGTATATATAATTCTTTTTTGTGCTACTTGTTAATGAGGATGCCTATCTGATGTTTTTTTTTCTTGAAACATATATTTAAATCAGTAAAGTAGAAAATTTTTGTTTCTTACTCAGCATATGAAGAATAAAACTTGTTACTATGTAAAAACAGGGACATATCTCATGGAGTGTGCGACGTCTGGTCCTGATTTTTATAATAGTCTACAGAAGATCCTCGTCTTCAATGCTGAATTACATCTTTGGGTAAAAGTAAAAATACTTGACTGTTTTACTAAAGTAACTCTGACATTGACTTCGACCAAGAGTTCTACTGAGTTAATCTATACTTCCCATGAATGATTGTAGATTAATGTGATCGAAGACAACTGGCAGTGTAATTTTTCTATTCGACAACATGCGACATCTCATTTTTCTATAATATTTCATGTTATTAATTGAAAAAGAAAATATTCAAGAAATAAGATAGTTTTTAATAAATAATCGTTGAAAATAACTGCTGATATTAGTTTATTTGAATGATCGCATCAGTGGTAACGTTGACAACAGAATAATTAATGGCATACTAAGTGAATATAGTAAGTCTGAATAATATGTTTCCTCTATAATCATATTCTTCAATGGAGGTAAAGAAAAGAAAGAATAATGTAAAATTTTTTATTAGCTTATAATTATTTTACCTATATATAGACAATAGGAAAATTCGCTAATCCTCAATCACCATGGCGTTGGGATGATCAAAAGAGTGCATTAGTTCAAGATATAGATGTAACTGTTGAAAAAGCTGGTATTAATTCTGAAGTAGCTTCAGGAAAAATCGATCTATGGAATTTATCACCAGGAAGCCGTCCTCCGGCCTACGAAAAATATCCATTAGAAAAATCAAAAGATAAAACAGTTGTATCAATTGGAGATATTATTCGTAAGTTAAATAAATTCATGTAAATTTATCTAATTTTTATTTTTAATTAAAAGATACTGCATTAAATACGGCTAGTGATACTTATTTTGTTCCAGAAAAATTTGCTGATTTTGTTAAGTATGTTTAATATATGTGTCACTTAAAACAAAATATTAAACTAAGTTAAAATCCTTTTGTCTAAATAAGAAAATTTTCATATGATATATTTACAAATTTGAACAAAATATTTATTGTTAAAATTAATTATTAGTAAATTTCGTTCATATATTGATATGAAAAGATATTTTCTCTAATGAATTCACATCATTATTTTTTTATTATTATAAAGAAGTACAGCTTGACATTTTTCTTTTGTTTACAAAAGTAACCTAGTGTATGTTTTTTTATAATTTCATTTTTTTTTATGAAACAAAAAGACGACCAGAACTTGAAGACTTTTTTCTTCATTTAATCAATTATTTTTATTGGTATTTCGAATATAACGAGTCTCAAGTTGTAACAAATCCACTTTGTGTGTATGTATAGAATTTCGAAATAATTAAAAATTCTAATTTAAGAAAAACATTGTTTTTTTTTTTTTAAATAAATTTAGAGAATTTAATTATGAAGAACGAGATCGTATATCTAATGCTGAAGGTCATATGAATACAGCTCTTTTATTTGTTGCACAAAAATATAGTAATATTGTTCTTGGCACTGGTCTTAAACAATTTCATCATTTCTATTGGATCGAAGGTCTTGATGGTGATCCGTTAACAAAAAAACGAGATATTATTCCATATAGTGGTCGTGTATCACGAACATTAATTGATCGTGGTTATGCAGAAGTAAGAAAATTTGAAAATTAGTTGATCGTTATAATGACATTTGAAATTATATAGTTATTAATTATATTTGCTACAATTGTTATACGGATTACATTTGAAAAAAAACAACGTGAAGTAATTGAAGCTGAAATTGGAAGGTAAGATAATAAGAATTTTACAAACGAGAAAAAGATCGTTTTATTGGATATGTTATAGAATTATTCGAACCAATGCTTTTCCGAATCCAACTTATTCATGTATGAATTGATTGAATTTAGTCTTTTCTTTGATATATATATATATATGTATGTTCATAGCAATTCAAATTCGAACTCGATCAACACGAACAGCAACGAGTGATTATACTACAAGCAGAAATAGTGAAAATCCATCGAGTCATATGATGTCAGAACGGAAAGGTACTGGAGGAAGTCAACGAAGTATTCGATCACAAAAAACAATAGCAACAGCATCAACGGATATGAGCCATACTTCTAGTAAATTAAATGAATAGTCTGAATCATCATTGAATAATAAAATATTTTTTTTTCCATAGATGGTAGTAATAAAAGTGGAACAAAACGACAACCATTCCAACGATTATTAACGTTAGTTAAACTGCTATTCTTTTTTTCTATTCAGATTAAAATGAAATAAAAAGCTTTTCGTTTAGGCAACGATCACCTATTGTTGTTACTTTACTTCCAACAGCACGTGATCAAAGTGCTTGGTTATTTTCACGACGTCACGGTAAAAATGATACGTATGTTTCAACAATTTGCTATTAATTTTTGCTATTTTTTTTATGCCAATATATTAATATTTATTAATAGACGCCCGAAAAGTCCTAATATGATATCTGAAAAGGAATTTCAAATACGACATGAGTACGTATTATTGTACTCCTTTTTTTTTCCTTGTTTCAATAACTTATTTTGTACTATTTTTAGTGTTGGTGTGCTTGGTCAACCGATTGATACATTAACATTAATTGTTAGTGCAAATACACCAGCTGTAAATACATCTGCTTCTCAACTGTCACATATCGATTTAAAGTAAAAGAAATACAAGAATTTAAAAGCAAGGAATTAATTATTTATTTTTTTGTGTCTTTAGTCGACGAAGTAGTGATACTGATAGCGGTATGTACTTTTACTTTTGAATTAGTTTATTGTTTGTTTTTTTATTTATTATTCATTCTAGGAATTTGATATGTTACACCATAAACGTTTTTACAAAATTCATACAATCGTGAAAAGAATAATATATTTTTAGTCTACATGTTAATCATTATTCTTTTTTCTTTTTTTTTTCTTTTGCAATAAAATATGAATATTTATTGAGGTTTTTTTTTCTTATACAGAAAAGAATTTAACAGAAACAGAAAAAAAAAATGAAAGAGGAACTACTCGAAGTGATTTTGTCGCTTCTCATGTGTAACAAAAAAGAACGCTGTTACCATTGGAAAATGAAACTTTTTCTTCCAAGAAAACCTTAAACATTTAATGACTCCTTTTTTTTTTTTTGTTTCTAAACAAGTTCTTTAAGATTAAAATATGTCAAAATGTTAACTCTTTGAAGTCATATCAAATTTAAAATTAGAGAAAACATATTTATTGCAATCATTTGTATAATGAAAGCCTAAGAATTTCAAAATAGACTCAGCACAATAAACTATATCGGTAATGAAATATTTAACAAGAATGAACTAAGGAAACACAGTTTTCTAGAGATTTCTCATGCCAAGAAAGAAAAAAAAAATCCTTTATCGTCATCTTGAGATTGCCAAGAACGTGTCGTATTATTAAGAATTGGTTCTCAAATTCTCGTTCAATTATTAGTGCATTTTTATCATCTCTACATTCATGCTCGATCATGTTGCTAACAATGAGTAAATTTACTTCTCTGAAAAATCTAAGTATGTTCAGCAGAGAAAGAACAACAACTTGCTTGAAGAATCTGCTATAAAATACGTCATTTAGTTCTACAAAAAAAAAGTGTTTTGGATTTACGGTAAAGATTTTTGTCTCTTGCAACTAAAGCGCATTTTTACTAATAATAAATCATTGGAATAAAGATCTTTATGGCTGAATTTTTCAGTTTATCTAAAGTAATTCAGTCTAATGATATATTCTGTTAAGTCACATTACTAATAATTGAAATTGTTCGAATGATCTATGTTAATTGCCATTAGAAGATAAGCAATGGATTTTGTTTATATCACAAAACATAAAGGAAATATTGTTAAAATATTATTTAAATACTAGTCTTGTTTACGTGAAAGAATGAAATACGATATTTTTAGTTTTTAGATTGGTATGTTTTATATGCGCAATTAGAATTTTTTATTATGTATAAAAGGAACCATTGATAAGATGTGTACTGATGAAAAGTCATACTTTCGATATGTTAAAATTTATTTGAAATATTAAAAAAATAAATTATTTAAATATTAAAAGAAAGTCTATGGACAGAATTTTTTTTTAGTTATAAAATAATCCATTGTTTTTCTATCTATTACTGTCATAGACATAAATTAATCTAAATAATTGCATGTCAACAAGACGAAACTATTATTATAATTGAAGTAATTTTTATTTGTCTCGTGCGATTGTTATCGTAAAACATTTTAATAAACTTTATAATAATTTTCCGATTAAATTTTTTATATCTATAAATTTATTTTCCAATAAAAAACTCTTCTTTTTTATTCCATTGAAGATATAATGTTATAGTTAATGACGTCAATCGAAATTTGCAATGATGTTTTTTATTCTAGTCCTTTATTTAATGAAAAAAATTAATATGTTTAAGCATATTCAAGTATATATATGTATTTATTTTCATATGTTTCACTTATACAATCAAGACAAAATTACATTGTACCCAAGGATTTATTCTATCTATACTCAATAACCTAAATTTTTTAGAATGTTTGCTTTGTATATATTACACCTATGTTGATGAATAACAAATAGATGACGAAATATTTGTCAATGATCTTAACTATTTGGTAAGGTCAATTATTTTACTGTATTGAAAATAGCACGCAAGGATTTGATATGACAGTCGTAATCGAATCATGTTTGTTCTCATGTGACTCAGACTATGAAAGTATCTGAAACAAACACGTGACCATTTCATTTGGTTCATTTATGTATGTTGGAAGGCATTTTTGGGTGTGTTTCGTTTCTATTTAGTAGTTGTTCTTTATTTCATAACATTAGATGACTCAACGATATTCTCAAGTACAACAAAGAGAAAGTCAATTTAAAAAAGAAACAAATCGTCAAATATTATCGTTTTTTTCTCGTTCTATAATTGTGTACCTTATAACATTTTATCTTTTCTCTGACTAGTGAATAACGCATAAAAAAAATCTTTCTTCTCTCGCGTCACTGTTGTAGAGGTTGTTCAAGTACTATTGGCGAGAAATAGAATGTGAAAAAAAGAGAGAGAGAGAGAAAGAGAAGCATAGAAACAGGAGAGAAGAGCATATAAAAGAATGCTGATTTATGCCTCATTCCTTGTTCTATTTTCATTGCACTGACATAAATTTTGATGAGAACGGGGAAAAGCTTCGCAACCATTGCTTTTTGCAACTATCTATTTTAGATTCACATTTTCTATCGATTAACTCAATTCTACAATGGGTAACAAAAGTTCAAGCAAAGCTGATCCGTAAGCTCTGTTCATTTGTTCTCTTATATTTCATAATCTATTGTTCATATTGTGTTATTCAGTACAATTCTTACACCAAAAGCTATTCAGATGCTTAAAGCTAATACAAATTTTACCGACGAACAAATTCGTGAATGGCATGCTGGTTTCTTACGTGACTGGTAAATAATTAGATAAAAGCAAAAAAAAAAAGAAGAAAGGATTTTCTTTTAAATTTTAGTCCCAATGGACATCTTTCAAAGGATCGATTTATTTCAGTTTATGAACAATTTTATCCAGGTGGTAAAGCTAAAGATTTTTGTAAATATGCATTTTCTACATTTGATCGCGATAATAATGGAACAAGTAAAACTTATTTGAAAAATAACGCTTTATTGTCTTATAAAAAATATCTTTTTTTTTTTTCTATAGTCGATTTCACTGAATTTATGCTTGCTATTGCATTGACACAATCAGGTGATCTTGATGAACGTCTTGCTTTAGCATTTGATATGTATGATTACAATAATACAGGAACAAGTAAAGTTGAAATTAATATATTTTTTTCATATAAAATATTTTTTGATTTGCTTAGTTGATACAAGTGAAATGGCGAAAGTTATTTCTGTAAGTTTATCAATTAAGTTAAGTAAAATGATTTAAAAATCTTTCTTTCTTATCAGGCTATGTATGATCTTACTGGTGAAGCTGATCGTAAAGGTAAAATGTTTTAAATAGTTTAAAAAGAAAACAAAATTCTTTTGTTTTATAAGGTGATCGTGATCCAAAGCATCGTGCCGAAGAAATAATTCGCATTTGCGATGTTACTGGTAATAAAAAATTAACGAAAGAAGAAGTACGTTAAAACAAACATTATCGATTTTTTTATTTATGAGCTTTTTCTATTTAGTTCATCGCTGGTTGCAAGAATGATCCGGTAAGTTAATTTATTATAAACAAAAAAAAAAGTTATAACAATAAAATTTCGATTTGTTTTTAAATTTATTTTTCAAGGTCATTCGTCGTTTACTTGTTCCTAATGCTTAAATGATCATGACGAATTCAATTTAATATTCTAAAAAAAAAAACTTTATCATTCTTTTTTTTCTCTTTCGTACATGGGTTTGATTCCATTGTGTTGTATTCATTTTACTTCTTTGCAAAAAAAAAAAAAAAAGCACAAAAAAAATTTTATTCTTCTTCATAGTTTTTTCTGTAGTGTATATGATCAAGCGTATTAGTTTTATCATGTAGCTTTTCTCTTTGTAACAGAAGTGAAAGCAAAAACAACAGCAGCATTTGTAATTATTTTGCGTTATTTGTTAAATATATGTAAACACAGCATTAAAATTTATTGTGAATTATTATATAATTGGAATTTTAGGTCTTTTAGTAAATCTTGTTGTTCATTGTTTACAGTGACGAATTTAGTAGGGAATTGCCTCACTTCCAAAAGATTTTTCCTAGCAGCAAAAGCTTTAAAATGAGTTTCAAAACAGGTTTTTCGATCATAATCACCTCCTTCCCGTCATAAAAACCTTACATCCATCACTGATTGTGTGACGTTATGGTTACAGAACAAAAAAGCAGATGAAAAATAAAAAGAATGAATGAAGATTTCTTTTGTTCTACTGTACTCACATTTCTCAAGTACCACTTTAAGTTTACTTTAAATAGAAGAAAATAGACTGATTCACCTGTATACATATTCAAGCGTAATATAATATTTGAGAAAAAAACAGTTTGCAGAAGTAATGTTTTTTGGGTATATCGCGTCAGTTCGAATGATCACGTGATTTGAAAATGTGAAGTCAAGTATAGACAATAAATTTTATATGTTAATATTTATGAGATATTTTCGTAAGAGTGACAGCTGGAACAAATCGGAAAAAGAAAAGATTTGAGGAGGTGAAAACAATTCTATATTGGAAAAAGTACTTTGTAGGATCAAAGAAAATTTTTGAAAAAAGTTGTCAGAAAATCGAAGAGACGCAAGAAAAATACTTTTTTTTAATTCGATGGCAGATGTTTATTTGATAGCACAAATATTTTAAAGCTAAATGAGACATTTCCAAGTTGCATGAAGACTTGTCTTCATGTAATAACACTTAAGTTATAAATGATGAAGAAACCATGTTATTATTGTTTTTTTAACATTTTACACTTCGAGATCATGCATAGATTTGGTGTAGTTCAATAAAGAAAAGTTCGATTGAAATCAGGAAATTGGTTTTTTAAGACTCTTAATTTTCCGGGAGATATTTTTCTTCGATAATTTTAATAGAAACTAGAAACATACTTCGCCTGATAGAAAATTCCTTTAGCTACTCAAATCTTTTTTCCAACTTGCTCTTAAGAAAATATCTCATAAATTCCAGTCTGTTAAATTTTTTGCCCTCATTTGATGCAATTTACCAAACTTATGGTATTAATAATAGTAATGGAGTAAATTAATTGAATAGTTTTTCACTATTCAAAATGTTAAGAAGAAGATGCTCAAATTGTTCTTGTCGTGAAGTAAAAGTTTGAATGTATCATAGATAACACGATCTAATAGTCTCTAAATATATTGCAGCCATAATCCTAATAGAATATTATGAGCATCATTAACGTTAAATCAATTGTTGCTATGGCTATGTACAAACTTCTGTATTGAAACATTTTTATGATCGCTCTATCTGAAAAAGCTTTTTTTTCTCACATTTAGATTTTATTGATTATTAATACATTCCTAAAAACAATTAGTAAGTCAATCTATCATAACACTGACAGCATTCATTCATGTACGGTTAATTAGCTTAAAACCAGATAAGAAAGTATCAAACAAAAAATTGTACGAAAAATACAGTAATTAAATCAAATCTATCCAACAGAATGATTTTGTTTTATAGATGATATTTAAGGCGTGAGAGATTAACATAATGATAGTCGTTATTGATAAGAATAACATTGATGGTTTTTTTCTCATCGCTGACTTTTATCATCATTCCGAAGCATAAGCATCAATTATTTTCTATTCTATAGCAAAAATCTGAGAAAAAAAAATCATCTAACACATTGTCATCAGATGAACAGTTATGTTATTTTATCTCTTTCGACGAAAAAAAAAATTCGATATTGTTGAAATTCATCGCAAACTATATTGGTATTTAGCTCATTAAAAATAAAAAATAAAAAGAAATCAGTATCTAGTTTTGATAATAAACTAATATTTTTATTACTATCTTGATGCAATTTGTTTGCCCAAAGTATTTTGTTCAGATTTTCAATTTGATATTTTCGAATCTTAAAAATAAATTTCCTTTAGAAAAATAATCGAGACTTGTCATCTGTGAATGAATTGCAACTTTTTAGTACCATTGTATTTGACCAAGAATTTTTATATCATTCAACCGACTTGGACGGTTTTTTAACATGTTATTTTCCTCTAACTAAACACGCCTCCATCAACTTTCAGTTCTCCATCTCAGACAGTCGTTGAATTATAACATACATATTACAAGAAAATGTCTTTTTTTTTGGTAACATGTGCAAAGAAAAGGAACTCTTTTGACTATAATAGAACAAGAGAAAAGGGATAAAAACAGCGCAGTTTGTGCAGCGTTCGACGCCCTTTCATAATATATAATTTATTTGAATTTTATTCTTTCTTTTTTCCCCTTGGCAAACATCCACTTTGTTTGGTAGACACTTGTATGGTTTTTCATAGAATTACACAAACTCAATTTTAGTTCTTGTGATAGAGCTGACGACATACAGATCCTCTGAGAAGAGAAAGAACTCTTGTGGTAAAAGACTGACAAGGAAGAGTTCTCTCTTATTAGATTTGTGCCAGAGAAAAAAAAGCAACAGAATTCGCTAAAAACGAGTCATTATACTAATTTTCTAGAGTGATATTTTGAAAATTGTTTGCTCTATAACTTTTCAATCAATCATACTCTTTGGCTCAAACGTTTGCAGTAGATTTAAAAATAAATAATGAAAATTACAATTTTTGATCTTGCACTGTTCGAAAGAAATTTACCTTATTCGGCAAAATGTAGAATGATATTTAAAAAACACAAAAAAGCTCAGTGCAGCGAGCAAACCTAAGTGTATGGCTAGCTATTCTTAATTACTCATTTTCTATCTAAAACTGAAAAATGACTCGAGTCTTTTTCAATGAAAAAAGTCAATTTTATAATTGTATTAAGCAGAAACAAAACTTTACAACATGTATTTATTTTAATATTCAGTAAAGTGTTGAGAAACTTTTGCTGCTTAACATTAATTGAAAAGAATTCACTATGTACGTATTTCCAATAGCAACGGCAGTGTAGAATTCAAATACTCGAGAAAGGTCCCATTCCTTTCTACTCGATGATGTTATAGCAATAATGGTAAAGAATCATTTATCTTAAAGTAAACTAACTCTATTATAATTAGAACTGTCATATGATAGGTTTCGAGATTTGGTATTCAATTATCTGTGAAAATTATTATTAGCACGTAAAATAATCATTGATAAATTGACATGTTTTCTTGTTCTTCTTCTAATGTACCAGAAAAATAAATATTTTTTAATTATTTCCGTCTATGTGCTATTTCAATTAGGTTGATATTAGGAAACGGATGTGGCTTTTTTCTTCTACTACATCTACACTGCACCCGAGATAGTAAAAATGCTAATATAGTCGCTCGAACGATGTCTATATATTAGGAAAACGCAACAATTGAGTTAATTATCATAAAAATATTTTTATTTTGAAATGAGAAATGCTACAATGGCCTTATTATTATTGTGCTTTCATAAATGGAATATTTTTTACTCGTTTGTGATTGTAAAATTGAATAATAAGTTCTATTTTTTATTCATAACATTAATATAAAAGCTCATATTGTTGATGAAAGATTGATTGGCGATGAAATATCTGTCGACAAAACTATTCGTCAACACCATGTGTAGTCTATCAAAAATCTATCAACGAAGAGTTGTTGACAAACTATGTTGTCGACCCATGATATGTGATTGATTTCTTGTATATTGTTATAATCATCATTTTTTTTTCTCATTATTATCAAGTCAAAATATTTGTAACATACGGAAAGACTAATATTACCACAAAATAATATAGAGAAAAATTTACAATAATTAGTTAAAAATCTTTTTTTTTTCGTTTCAATATGGTTTGTAGGAATTAGTTCATTAATTTAAATAAATTATAAAATAGAATAGCAGCTTATTTGCTGATGATCGGAATAACAGATTTGCCAGACCATAGAAATAAAAGATCATCACAACTATTAACTTACTGGAAGATATTTCTATTGTGTTTTTGTGGAATGAAGATATTGCAAGTATCTAAACGTATATCATAATAATCATCGATTGTGGGCAATAGTTTTAAAAAGTTCAGGCGCGAATTTATTACTCATGGACAACTCATTCGTAGATATTTATCATTGGAGGACAATGATTATCGTTTATTACAAACTTCATTTACAATGAATAATGCATAGATATTAAGTTATATTAACAGACTTCAAATAACATAGTATGATTCTTATTATAAATGATGATATAAGACAGCATGAGCGACAAAAATTCATCTTGTAAAGGTGAACTATAAATGCAACAGAGTAAATCTCCAGTCTGAGCCATGTGCTTGTCATTTGTCGTGATGTCAATATTCTAATCAAGAATTGTTGATTACTTAGGCAAGAGTTCACAGCACGAACTACTTGATCTTATTAAATGTGTTAAATTTTTACTTTAAAAAAGAATAAGTTTTTAAATATTGTTTATTTCTACTTATTTTATTTTAACAAAATCGATGAATTTAGATCATCAAATTATTAATTTGCAATGTTAGAAATGGATATTTTCATTCTAAAAATCTTATGAACTATTTCATCTATAGTATTTTGCAATTTAATTAGCTCGTTTGTTGTCATAAAGTCAGCTGAAAGTTATTTATTTGAATCAATGAAATTTCCTTTTTTTTCATAACGATAAAATTACAAATCTGCAGTATACTAATACTTAAATTTCAATTCAACTAATTTATTATCGTCCATGTAGAAATTCATATATAATGTTCGATTTATTGAAATTGATGAACTTAGTTTGCCGTCAATCTATAACGTTACACATGAAACGAAAATTTCAAAAATTGTGTCTATGAAGTATAATTTTCGAAAGTATCTCTTTAGATAATGACGAAAAAAATTTAGTAAAAATTATCGTTCTATTGATTTCTTTTTTTTATCAGTCTTGTACTTTTATGCTCATTTGTAATATCATTTGATTTTTATTTTGTCAATGACAAGATGTATGAACAAATCAAACGTACAATGACTATTCATAGTCAATGAGTATGTTTGTTAAAAGAAGTAATATGATTTTCGCCATTTTATTTTTCTTAATATCATTTGTAAGTTTGCCTATGTTGACAGTAATATTGTTTTGGTTACTTATCTACTTATTGCACTTAAAATCAGCTGCTGTTTTTCACATATATAATCGTTAGTTTTGTAATGATCAACTAACAAGAAATAACGAAAATATACTAATGTTAGCTAAAATCTTCGTTTTACTTTGCTTTATATCCATCAGTAATAGTCAAACAAATTGTCGGACAACATCATGGTGGGTTTTATTACCATTTTCAAAAACAACATTACAATCATTTTTGGACGAATCGAAAGAAGAACTTACATTTAATTCATCAAATCCATTAGCAAGTTTTATGAAAAATAATGAACATCCTGTTTATTTTGAATTTAATCAACAAAATCAATGTCAACAAAATTCATTACCACCATGGTTAGCTAATGCAACAGAACAAACATTCGTTGAATTTAAATTAGAAATACCTTATTTAATTCGTCAAAATAAAACTGTTATGTTAAAACCACTTATTTATCAAAATAATTTAATTGATGTTAGTGCTACACGTTTTGTCTATGGTCTTCCGACTTATTTTGTAAGTTTTAATCGTTGAATTGAATTACATACAGTGGGTACCAAAATTATTCAACCAGGTTTATTTTCAATTTCTTTCCGCTATCTTGAACGCTAGAAACAATCCAAATAATGATTCTGGTAGAGAAAA